CAATGACTCTTATAAAAAATTTTAGACAATTAAATATCTATTTTGTATAAGGAAATGACTTTCCAATATCGTAAATTTACAGTTAAGTACAATAATATTACAGTTTTGTAAGTAATTAAAAAAAGGTATAGTGCATTTCCATAGAAATAAAAGATTAGTGAAATTATTAAATGATCATAGTATATGTGTAAATAAATATAACTATTATAGTGTAGATAAATATTATTAGTATATTATTTTAAACAAAATATTCCATTAATAAATTTATGTAAAAGAACATTCATTTGAATTTAAAAAAATATGTGACGCGCGAAAACTCTGCCTCTAATAACATCGTTACGTATCACTGTGACCGGGAAGAACAGCATCAGTGCCTAGATTTCTTAAACCGTAAGAGAAAACCAGTGTTAGTGTGTATTTTTGTATTAGCAGAGAGAAGTCTGAAAGCTGATTGTTAAAGTAAGGAAAAATCTTACATTTTTCAAGTACATTACTAAAATAGTTATTTGAGGTTATATTGTATTATAAAGGTTGTACAGGTTATATTGTATACACATCAAAAAGTTTTGTTTGTTATTAGATGAGCAATGAACAAGATAATAGTCTTGGACAATATGCAGTTGTTCGATTTACTGATGAGAACTCGAACTCGATGAAAATTATTGATTTGGTTCCTTCTTCCTGGATCTACGAAGTTGACCAGATAGGATATTTTTGTTTGTATCCAGATTCAATTGATTATCATCATTTAGATAACTGGCTTCTTTCGTTGAAAAGTGCCGAAAACAATTGGAATTCGTATGCAATAACTATTATTGCATATGCAAGTAAATAATGATATTTAATAATAATCATTATTGTAACAGATATATTTTTACATACAGATATAGATGAATTTGAGATGAGTGACTGGATATACGTATATATACTATGAGAAAATGAGAAAGTATCTAGATACATGTATATTTAGATATTTTCTTATAGTATCTATATGTGTGTCGAGTTATTCATCTCAAAGGTGCATCTGTATTTCTATCTAAAAATGTATCTGTTACAATACTGATAATGATCTATTAGATATATCAATAAATTCTGTGTTTTCTTGACAAAATTTGATCTGTATTTAAAAATAAACAAAAAGAACTTAATCATTGAAATATTCCCCATTGGCATCGATAACTCTTTGCCATTTATCAGGTAGCTTGTGAATTCCGTCGAAGTAGAAACTTGGCGTTTGCTGCTTGGAATCGGTTAACCTAAAGCACAGAATTCGTTGATACACCAAATATTATACTTACCTAATATTACTGCAAGTTTTCTCATTGATTTATCAGAAGATTTAAAACAAGGAAAAAGAAGGTTGAAGAGAGCACTGAAGTCGGACAACGTGAAAAGTACTGATGATGACGTGTGTAATATTAATGAAGAATCAGTAATGATATTGTGCAAAGATTCCCTGCAAAATCAGTTAAATGTAGTGAAGCCATTTTTAATCGTTGACGAATCTCCTTCGACAAGTTCTTCACGAGCTTTTATCAAAACAAAAACAAAGAAAAAGCAAGGTACATTAACTTTTTAGTTTTAGAATTTTTTCTTTATATTGCGCTATACAGTACTATTTATATATTTTGTATTGCAATATACAGTATTATTTATATAGATTTTTATTATAGAGATATCATCAGCAGAAAATGTACTTCCTTCAACATCAATCGCAATGCTTCCAGTTATAAATGAAGAGACGACAGCCGAGATTTTGAACGTACAACCGAGTAAACATTAAAAATTCTATTACATATATTTCAATTTTGGGTTCAAATGATTAATTTAATATTCAATAATTGATGTATCAATTATTTTTTTAGTTTCAGTGAATGGGACAGATTACATCGACTAAAAATTTCAACAGCTCCAGAAAGAACTTACAAACCAAATTTTATCCGTCAAAAGAAGTATTTTGTACGATTTTGATAAGAAGATAAACGAAGTGAAACATACAATTATCATTAATCAATCAAACGCTAATTACCAACCAGAAAGAAGCATCGAAAAGTTAAAAGAAGCATTAACAATTGCTCTACCAACAGTATCACTGGATCACTTTTTATAATTAGAAAATTTATTAATGGATTCTCCAGAACAAAGAAGCATTGGTAAATAGATCGTAGTTTTATTTGCAAAAGTTTTTTAAATTTTTTAAATTTTCTTAATTTATCAGATGGCTTTGTTCCGTGTACTTATTACTAAACAATCCAATTTGAAAGAAAGCATTGCCAAAGTAATGAGTTCAATAATGACGAAGGCAGTAGAATTAAAATATTCGGGAACAGGAAAAATAATTAATGGACAGTCCAAAAGAAAGAAACTTTAGCAGTACTAATTCGTACATATGTTTAAGAGGTAAAATATATTTTTTTAACATCAATTTTTATATGACTTATACAATTTATGTATAAACACATTTGATTTCTAATTTTTTGTTATAGATATTTTAATAGAAAAATTTGGAAATAGTGTGGATTTAAAGAAGTTGCCAGGTCAGGTGGGATTATGGTTATCACGAGCTAGAGACCGTGAAGGAGGCAGAAAAGAACGAAACAAAAATAATTAAAAATAAAACCTTAAAATTTATTTAAAATATTAAGTCAAAATTAAAGTTTAAAATTTGTTACCACTTTTCCATTTAATATATCTTTGATATGTATATACGTACAAATACATTATTTCTTTATACAAAATTATTTTTAATATAAAAATTATTAAGTTCGGTTACATTTAAAAGTTTTTTACACAAATCAACATATATGTGATATATGTATATGTAGAAATTTTTTTTTTTTAAACGATTTTTAATATAAAAATGAATAAGTTTAGTTAAAATGTTGAGTTTCTTGCGTAAGTCAACAAATATGTGATATGCATAAATATATTATTTCTATAAAAAAGATTTCTAGTATAAAAATTTCTACTATAAAAATTAAGTTTATTTAAAATTTTAAGTTTTTTATGTTTTTTTACGCCA